TCTCTGCAAGCAACAACAAATGACATCAAATGGGAAGGCACTCGAAGAATTAACCATCCACTGTCTTAGTTACACTGAGAGGTCTGATTGGGAAAGAGTCTATAACAGGAGTTGGCAAAATTTGGCTCATGGGCCATTTGCCTGTTTTGTGAACAAAACAGCCACACTCATCTGTTTATGTCTGGTTTATGGCATTGTTTTTCTAACATCAGAAAGCATACAGACCATTTTGGGATCTTGTTAAAATGCAGGTCTCATTCTGAAGGTCTGGGTGAAATCTGAGATTCTTTGTTTGTTTCTACAAAGTTCCAGGTGATGCCCGTAGAGCTGGTTTGCACACCACAATTTGGAATAGCAAGGGCTTAAATGCAATAATCTGTTCTGCTAGAGCACTGGTTCTCAAACTGGGATGGTTTTTGCCCCACAGAGGACATCAGGCAGTTTCTGGAGACATTTTGGGTTATCACAACTGAGAGGAGGTCCTATTGGCATCTAGTGGATAAACACCAGGAATGCTTCTAAAACATCCTACAACAGACAGGACAGTCCCCTCATCCCCAAACAACTAATAACCCAGCCCAAAATACTAATAGTGCTGCCATTAAGAAACCCTGCATTAGAACAGTTATTAACCTTGAATGCACATTAGAATCAACTGAGAAGCTATGAAAAATATCAATGCCACTTCTGGTTACAAGTAATGGTATCAGACCTCCCCTCCTTCTGTAAAAGCCCATGAAATAAAATCAAAACAATAAAATTAGACAAAAATCAAAACAATAAAATATATGAAGCAACTTATCAGGCATCTAAAACAAACAAGGCTATAATACTTGAGGAAAAGAAAATAATCCAGATCTCAGAAAGGCCACAATTTAAGATATTTACTATAGACCAGACCAAAAAAGCCTAAACAGAAGTCATGACATGATGAAGTTGAACCAACAATAAATTCACTGCCAGAACAAAATTCAAAACTCTTTAAAGGAATACAGTAAAACCTGGAGTCTATAGACAATAGCATCCACAATGTTCAGCACACAAAATGTTACTACACGAGACACAAAAATGTATCCCATAACCAGGGGG